AATCCTTAAACCAAAAGAAAACAGAATAGAAACCCTAAAAGCTCCACAACCATGTCTTAAAGACATAAAGACCAGAATCAGGTTTGGAATCAGGTTCAGGTCCTTCAGGTTTGGCTTTAATTAATAATTTGAAGAGAAATAGATACTTTATACCTAGAAATTTAGATATTTGTGGATATAAAGTGCCCTTTGCAAAATAAATGTGTTTTTCACGCAGTATAAGAAAACCATTCTGCTTTCTATTACGCTGGACAGAAAACAGGTTATTAGATAAACAACAACAACAAAACAATGAAAAACCACACATCGATTTGGCCTACCAGTCCTCATTCAATCTCCTCCCCACCCACCCAGACACATATATCCATCCCTTCTTCCTGCCTGTTTCTTATTGCATGCTCCCTCCACCCGTCTTTTTTTTCCTCTTTCAGCATCGCTGCCCTTTTTGCAAATGTTCCCTGCAATGTTTGAACTTTTGTCAGCTCTCCCCGTCTTGTGTTTCTGTTATTACCACCATCAGAGACCCTCTCTTAACACTCCAGACTCTCTTCTCTTTTTATTCCCCCGTACATCTACCTGTACCTGTGCATGAGGGGGCAGGTGCTTTTATCCAGAGTGCCTACTTCTGTGTTTATGCATTATGAATAGTGAAAAAAAACAAAAAAAACAGAAGGTCTCAAAGATCCAGCGGTGTTGAGAAGCAGCAACGTTCGGAAGTCAGCACACGAGAAGTTGTTTGCTTTCTGCAAGCTTGTGTTGTTTAGAATCTCTGGGATGAGAACTTTTGGCTCCATTTAAAGCATTGAAAATTGTTTTTAAAAAATAAATAAATAAATAAATAAATAAATAAATAAATAAATAAATAAATAAATAAATAAATAAATAAATAAAATAAAATGAAAAATAAAATAAAATAAAATAAAAAGAATTTAAAAAAAATTAAAAAAAATAATAAAATAAAAATAAAAAGAATAACAAAAAAAAATAATAAAAAAAATAATAATAATTGTTTTAAAATATGAATGAAAACTGTTCATGAAGAAGCTAATCTTGTCCGTACCCTCAAAGACTGTTGACCCCGTGAACTTTGAAAGTGGGACATAAGGTAAGGTAAAAAAAAGAAAGAAAAGAAAAGAAAAAAGAAAAAGAAAGTGTGACATATTAACAATAAATGCCTGGACTGGTCATCCTGGACCGGTCCCCAGTCCATCCCAGGGTCACACAAAGACACACAACCACACATGCACATATATATATATATATTTGTATATTTATTTCTAACAAAATGTGAGGAAAAATAAATAAATGAACAAAAAAGGGGAATCCAATTAGCTGCTAGCGTTCTAATTTGAGGCTCAGGGATCAGGATTTGGTCATATCCTCACTTAGGGGTGCATCCATAGTGAGTTTAAAGCTTTTAAGAGGGTTGTTGTCTTCAGACAACTCCCCATAAAGTCACCCTGTGTAATTGTTCTTTAACTCTAATTGCCATTACCAAGGCATCGATCTTGACCCGGATCAGTATCTAGGCCAAAATTGTTTTGGTGTCTTGTAAAGGGTAGGACACTGAATTCCATGTTCAAAATCAAAAGGAGACCACTTCAAATAAATCATTAATGCTAATGAGTGAAATTCAACCATATTTGAATTGTATCAATGTTCTACATTGAGGGAAATTTAGCTCAATGAAATCCGAAAACAAATTCCATATAAAGAACCTTCAGGATTGAGTAGAATGCAACTCGATGTTGAGCGAAAATGACATAGCTTTTTCTGTTTTATACTTCATCAAGTACATTTTCATCATGTAGAGCACAGTATAAACTCGGAGTGTGGAAATCCCCCTGAAGAATTTACTCTGCTGAGTCATGTCCACTCTAATTCTACCTCTTTTGGGGTAAAATTAAATTACATTTGAGTCAAATCTCTGCATATTTGTGAGTATCCAGCGTAAAATTAACAGTGCAATGCATGTCTCAAATCTCAGATATCTACACAACTCCAGAGCTAATCATTCATGCATGGCATTTTTTTTCTTGTTTGTTAACAGTGCATTCTCCTTTTTTTCCAGAGGGTAGAAAGCTTGTGTTTGTTTATGCATGATTTATTTACAGCTAAAAGGATACAGGAATGAACTTTTTCTGACTTACCTTTAAAAAAAATCGTCATATTTTATTGAAAATGTTTCGGCTTTCAAGCGATGTGTCATGTCGGGTGTCTAAAACATAAGGAGTTTTTGTTCATAGAGCATGGCTATCTTATAGTTATCTTCGTTTGAAAGTGATGTAAGAAAACCAAGTTGAAGCTACGAGGTAATTAGAGCAACACGATTACACTGGAATCATTTCCAGGCCGTGACGGTGGTGGAGCTGAGGGCTGTAATCCATCCAGAGCAGAAAATACACCTTCAACAGCATCTATATCACCATGCAGACGTTCATATTCACACAGAAATCAGAGACATTCAATTCAATTCAATTCAATTTTATTTATATAGCTCCAAATCACAACAACAGTTGTCTCACAGCGCTTTCCAAACAGAGCAGGTCAGACCCTACTCTGAAGTTAACTACAGAAACCCAACAATTCCCACCATGAGCAAGCACTAGGCGACACAGGCAAGGA